ATGCTGCAGTTCGAATTTCGCAAACAAAAATTGAATATTAGGAAAATTTCGTGTTAAAATTTTTTTAACTCCATTTCGCAATAATCTTTTATAATCTAAAATTCGCAATATAAAATCAAGTTTTTTAAAAATATTTTTTTAAAAATTGATAGTTTCTCGGCTCGACTGTCTCGAATAAAATGTCTGTAACCAGCCAATGAATTATAAAATTAATATTTTCCAATACGATTTCCTTTAAATCAGAATTGAATTGATTTGTAAAGAATGTTTTTAATGATTTTTCATACCAAGTAGACATCCAAAGACTTAAAATCTACTAAAAAAAATTGTCTAAACTTTTCTATTCCCAAAATACGAGTAGTTTTAATCACAATTAATAATGAATTCACCTCATATTTCGAATAAATTTCTTTTTAAAATCTGTGAACATAAATTGCTTACTGGGTACTCGTATCTGTTTAAAACATTAAGCTATGAAAAAAAGAAAAAAAGAGCAACCTATAGAAATACATAATAACTATTTTAGTCACGTTCACCATAATTAAATTAAAAATAATAAAAGTTCATGGTTTCTCCACAATTTTGTAAATATGAGCGCTTTTGTTATTTATTTTTTATTTTATGTTTTTCTTTTTTTTAAAGGATATTTCCGTTTAGTGTGTGCCAAACAAATTTAATGTACATTAAATGCCTTTTAGGTTTAAATGTTTTTTTTTCTTTTTTCTCTTTTCTTACTATCATTATAAAATCAACAAAAAAAAAGGTTTGCTGTGAACAAAACATAATCGACTTGAGCCGTGGAGAATGGCAAATGAATTTTCTAAAAAATTTAACTTTTAAAATGGCAGATTATTGAATAATACGAGTATATATGTTTAACTGCGGTTCAACCTGCTACAAAAAACCTATAAAGAAAGCAAAACAACAACAAGATTAGAAAGCATTTCCATTCTAATAAGAAATAATTATTTTGCAAAAACATTTACCTTCTACTTGTTGTGATCCATTACTCTTGGCCTCTGCAGACTTCTGGTCCACATCTTGGAATAATACTATTAAAATCAGAATATTGGTAGTTTTAAGATAACCATAAATTTAAGGAAAATTAATCCAACAAAATAATTAAATTAAATCACAATTGAATTTTTTGCTTAATTTAAAAAGTTTAATTCCGGATTTTATTAACATTCCTTTAAACTTGACCCAGATTTTCAAAACCGCAGGTTCAAATAGAGATTCATATTACACATTTATGAAATGCAAATTCAAACTAAGAAGGCATGTTATAATTTAATGCAATTGATATTTTAAACCTCTAAATACTTATATGAATATTCTTATTATTAAATGGACATATAAGAATTAAAAATTCTTATATGTCCACTTTCACTCCATAAAAATAGCAAAAACGACATGATTTTCCCCAGGAATTTTAACTCGTTTTCCATTAATTTATTGTTCAAATTTTGTTCTTTCTAGTTTTGCAGTCAATTTTCCTGAAAATATAAATGCATTGTCTCTTGAGCTAACAAATTTCTACACCGTTAACTTATAAAATTCATATTTGTATGTGGCAAAATGTATACTAAAAACTTCCTGAAAATCAATATACTTCGAGTTGAAATAAAAATGCAAACATCTTTTTTATAGACACACAAATGTCATAGAATTTATTCCTAGAACGATACTTCACTTACTGAATATTGTATTGTTTTTGAGAATAATCTTATGTTCATACAAATAAATAGGAAACCGTAAAAATTTGGTTTGATTTTTCCTTTATTTACAACTTAAAAAAATAACCATTTTGAAAGAAAATTATACTCAAACTTTATAGGTTATAAAAATGAAATATTTTACCAGCTTGTATCCACCTTTCTGTATATTTGCAATACAGCCCGAAGGTATGCAAGAATAAATGTATACAAAATTTTTTTTTGTTTTTGAATTTAATACTTTATTTATTTGTGTACCCAAAAAACTTAAAACCCCAAAAAAGACACGAATGTTTTTGTATTTATTCAATTAAACTTAATAAAAAAGTTTTTTTTTTTTATTCTAGAGAATTTTTTTTTTAGTAATTAAGAATTGAAAAGTGATTCTGTTACACATTAAGTAAACGCTTTGGATATTTTATTAATTAAAAAATACAAGCGAAATATAAAAGCAAATTTTTACACTGAAAAAAAATTTTTTTGATACATCAAGAAATTTTTAAAGAAATCGAGAATTGCAGTGTAATTGGGATTGAATAAAAAATTTAAATTTTTGTAATAGATATTTTACATATTATATATTGCAAGTAGTCTGTAATTAATTTTATTCACTTTGAAATTTTTTATACCTGGTGGATAAATTGGGTAAATATTTTTTGTATGATTTCTTGAAAAATATTAATGTATCTAATGAAAAAAAGAAACTCGCTAGCACGTGAAGTATTTATTGGTATAGTATGAAACTAGTATCAAAAGCATAACGATTATACACAATAAGACAAAACTACGTTCATTAAACTTGAATATTCGCTTCAAATATTAATAATTGACTGATAGAATTTAAGAGTTTCTGTATTCTATAAAATTATCGAAAAATTCAATTAACTAAATTTATTAACATAGGAATTTGCAATGTTATTGTGATATTAAGCCTATAAAACATTCCACTAATATCTCTGTATCAAAGACCCAACTTTTCCAGAACAACAATTTTGAAACTGTTTCCTTCATACTTCATTTAATTTCATAATATGAGATTTAATTTTTGACATATTCTACATTTATTTAACACTTTTTCATGTAATGCAGTGTACCGATCTCAGTAAAACAGTTTTCAAACATTTAAATGACGTATGTAATTAAGATCTTTCTAATATTTTTTGCTTATTTAATGTGGCGTGACTAGAACTTTAGAACTGTTGTTTGTACCCATATAAAATTAAATATCATTTATTAATAATTTAAACCCAAAATTGAGATGAAAAACTTTTTACTTCTAATACGAGTAGACATAATAAAATCTAAATTAGTTCTGTTCAAATCTACGGTTTATATATTTGAAATCTAACTGAATTGTTACATTCCAAAATTAGTTGTTAAACACTTAAGTGTAGTGGTTTTTAGTAAATTAAATTTTTAGTCCAATCACAATTGAATCTGACATTGAAATCTTAAACTCTTTTTGAAAAAAACAAAATTATTTACAGGACAAATTACAACATTTTGGAAAAAAATTAATAATCAAAATAAATAAATCAATTACGTTTACATCTAGACACTTAAAATACGTATACAACTTTATAATATACAAGTATGTAGACATACATAATAACCACTGTCATAATTCAATAAACATATCAATATTTTAAAAAATTTAAAGTAGTTTAGGTAGACACTTAACAAAACTATTTTTATTTTCATATAAAAATAATTTATTATCTTAATACGCTATCTAAATCCATACAAATTTGGGAAAACTAAAAACATAAAAGAGAAATTTACTGTAGGCATCAAGTAAATATCAAACGTTTATAATATGATTAATTTATTCAAATATTTAAAAAAAAATTAAGTAAAACTCTACTCAAAGGTCGAATTCCGTTTGATTGGATCAGATCCATTGGTCAATAGACAGATCCCTTTTTTAACTGACTGATGAATGGCATATTTATACATATAGACGCATTTAAATATACAGTCAAGGACTCGAAGGCACCCCTAAAGCAGGTAGACCATTTAAAGGTCCAATATTGGAATTTTACTCTAACTAATTCTAATTGAAAAATACTGATTATATACGCATAAAGATATTATATGCGCATAAAGAGTAAATCACACAAATCGTCATAAATCAAATCATAATTATTACCTAACTGTTATGTGCAACAATACGTAATCATAAATTTGGTCATGATTTTGACATGTAATCTACAGGTACGATTATTATGATATAATATTTACTCTTTTTTCTGTAAACTTCAAGAGAGAGTAAGTAAAAATATAAGCAAAATTGAATATGAAACGAGTTTATTTTTAAGAGAATATAAAATGTGACGTACAACAAAGGATGAGTAATGTATATTCTACCTAATTCTAGCAAATATGCTACATATACAGATTAGGCACATATTTTATTAATTAAATTTTTATTGATCACCATTCTTGATCTCAAGATAATGGATATTCCTGCTATACATTATGTTGCTGATAATGCGGCTATTAACCTACTGGTATAACTTAACAAATTAAAATAATCCAAAAGCCCCCCATTTCTTTGAGAAATATAGTGAGGTAATATTATTTAATGTTGTACAAAAAATTAAAAATCCCGCATGAATGAGTAATAATTCTTCTAACTTGAAGTTTTAAAAATAATTTTCGAACTACTTCATTTGAAGTGAAAAATTAAATTGTGTCATATTATAATTCTCGTTTTCTATATACTTACTAAATAATTACTTTCCGTCAAATTCTTAATTAGAACTTTTTATATATTTATCGCCTCACAAGTACGAGTATACCTTATAATATTAGGTATAATACCTTTGTAACATTGCAAATCCCCTCATACTCTCTTCGCTAATAATTTGGTTAAACATTTTATTTGTGTATTTTATTTTTTTTTTTATTTAATCTTGAAAAATAATAAATAACTACTTTACATTTTTTCAAGTACTTATAACAAATATACAATAATATTATCAACAAAATTTTAATTGTTATCTCTGATGTACAAATTACCCCATGAACTTTGCTTCTTATCTATACCACTACCGTTTCATATACATATATGCCTTTACGTTATATTCTCTCGATTTAATTGAAAAAAAAAAACGAAAAAGTACCGCTGAGATTAGCTGATAACGTAATAACATTAACGCTTACACAGTTATAGTTGTTTTTCAAGCATCTTAAATTTTTTTCGTACTCATATGCGATAGCAAAAATATTATTTTAAAATTTCATTACCTTTATCAGTTTAATTTTAGTCATCGAATACAAAGTATATTGGAAAAATAAAATCTGAGCTTATTTCAATTAATAAAAATATAGCAACTTGAAAATTATTAAAATATTCAATTAAAAAGGGAATTAGAAAAATAATAAGAAAAAAAAAATGTCATTTATATTATCGCCATTGAATGGATCGCTTAAAATTACAAAACAAAATCATCATATTTTCAAATCATTATTAACAAGTTCATTAATAAATTTAAATAAATATAATAAAAATTATTTAAATTATTCGACTAAAAGTCACAAAGAACCAGAAAAAACAGCACTACATAATTTTCATGTTGAAAAAAATGGTAAAATTGTTGATTTTGCTGGTTATTTATTACCAGTTCAATATAATGACATGAGTATAAGTGCATCACATTTACATACAAGAAAATCAGCATCAATATTTGATGTATCACATATGTTACAAACATATATGAATGGTAAAGATGTTGTCGAATGTTTTGAATTCATTTGTACAGCTGATATTAAAGGATTACCGCACAATACTGGAACATTAACAGTTTTTACAAATGAAAATGGAAAAATTTTAGATGATTTAATTGTTACAAAAATTCGTGATGATTTATTATATATTGTTTCGAATGCAGCAATGAAACAACAAGATATGAAAATTATGGAAGATGCTGTGGTAAATTTAAATTTTTAAACTTTAGTTTTATACTTACATATACAATGTTATAAATATATATATACATATGCTTGCACTTTAAAATAGAGACATTTTAGAGCACGTGGTAAAGATGTTTTTATTGAATTTTTAACACCATCAGAACAATCTTTAATAGCATTACAAGGACCAAAAGCAGCTGAAGGATTACAAAAATTTACAAAAGTTGATTTAAAAAAATTATATTTTATGAATACAACAATGTGTGAATTATTTGGTGTTAGAGATTGCCGTATAACACGTTGTGGATATACGGGAGAAGATGGTTTTGAGGTATATATATATTTTGTTTGTGCAGTTTTAAAATATTCTAATTAATATAAAAGAAGCAAAAATCTAATTATACGCGGTAATCATCAAGATGGACAAAAACTATGTAAAACTTATCGAAACTTGAAATTGGTAATTATAATAATATTACTGTAGTTTTTTAACCTGAATAGAAATTTATTTTGATATTTTGAGGACAGACATAACGGAATAAATAGAATGCCAACTGTATTAACGACTGTGAACAGTCAATTTATTGTTCCTTTGATTACGTCATCCATTTCTTCTGCAGTTGTATGAAGAAATTTCAATTGAGTTAATATTAATAGTGTAGTAGGCACAATACTTATTAATTAAACAACTAAACTTTGCATTAGTAATTCAGTATAGTCAATTTGTTCTTTAAAGTAGAGTAAATTTTCAAATGTAGCTTAAAAGTGAGAAGAAATTTTGAAAACCGAAATCAACCATATCGAATTTCGTACAATAGTATGTAACATTTTTCAGAAGCTATTAGTTAATGAAAGGGAAATTGAAAAATCAATGGGAATAAAAAGTTATTTTTGCTCATTTTAAACATCTGAATATTGCACTAAACCTAGTTTATCATTCAAATAATTTTGTCAATTTTAGATATCTATACCATCCGAAAATGTTAAAGATATTGTGGAAAATATCCTTAATTACAATAATGGTGATACAATAAAATTAGCTGGTCTTGGTGCTAGAGATTCCCTACGTCTTGAAGCTGGACTATGTTTATATGGATCAGATATTGATAATACAATAACACCAGTTGAAGCTGGTTTAACATGGCTTGTTGGTAAGTTTTTCCTAATAATCAAATAAATTTCTTCTTAATTTAATCAAAATTAAATTTAACATTTTGTTTTTTTTTGTTCTTTATACAGCACCCAGAAGAAGAAATGAACCAAATTTCCCAGGTGGTACAAAAATTGTTGAACAAATTAAAAATGGTGTTGAAAAACAACGTGTTGGTATTAAAATGTCTAGTGGACCACCAGCACGTCATGGAGCAATAATTTGTAATGAAAATGGTCAAGAAATTGGTCATATAACAAGTGGTTGTCCAAGTCCTAGTTTAGGTGGTAATGTTGCAATGGGTTATATTGAAAAAGAATATAAAAAAATTGGAACAAAAATTCAATTAAACATTCGAAATAAATTATATACAACTGAAATAGCAAAAATGCCATTTATAAAAACTAATTATTATATGAAACCAAAAGATGTATAAAATATACATAAATTAATTGAAATTTTATAAAAACAAAAGTTTTAATCTTAATACCAAATATTGAAAGAACAAGTTTAATTTAAGAAAGTATGAATAAGCTTTACACAGAAAAAAATAATCAAACAACTTGTATAATAATATTTTTTATGCGGATAACCTTATTCAATTTTTAAGATTTATGAGAGTTAATCGTTTGTAATATTTTCGGTTTTTAAAAATTTTAAAATTTAAAATGAAAGTAGAATTTACTATTTATCAAAAGCAATATTGTCACAATTGAACTAAAATTATGGTTCCAAGTAATAAACATTATCAAAAAATAAAAATTTACATACGACATACATTAGAAGTATTCTTATAAAAAACGCAAAATTCTGCTTTACAACATAAAAAATTAAAATGTTGCAATTAATTAAAATGTCAAAGTTATGCTTCTCAAAATTGTTAAATTTACGCTCATTTTTATTTACATTTAAAAAAAAAACAATTTAATAGTTTTAGCACTGCCTGATTAGAACATATATAAAGTCCCCGCGTAAAGAGAAGAAAATTCTCATTTTCTTCTTATGTTTTTTTCAAAAAATGTATAGGGTTTATATGAAAGGCATTAAATTTTCACCGTCCTGCTATACTAATCATGGCAGTGATTTTACAGTCCATAGTTTTCCAATAGTATCAATTAATAATTGCTTTTTTTTTAACAATAATTTTTAAGATAATTCAAGAGGTGCTTTAAATCATTTGTGCAAAATCTCATATTTATATTTGTCAACCACACTCGCATAAATACGGGAGATCCCCCGGTATATTAGGAATTTCTTTATAAATTAGTGGCAATCATGCAATGCAACGCAATTTATAAAAACCCATAAAATAGTATAATGTAAAACTGAACAATAGAACAGTAGGAGTTCAAAAATTAATTAAACAATAAAATTTGCAAAGAAAATAAAAAATTTTAATTTTTGAACAAACACAATTTAATGCCAAAAATTTCAATCAATTACAAAAGCATTAACAAAAAATATCAAATTGAAAATTTTTCTCATAACTTCAGCTACAAATAAAAGTTCTATTGTTACTGAAAATAATATTGAATTCTTCGTACCCCTGTCTAAACAATATTCAATTCTATTGTCATTGTCGACCAATTAAGAAATATAAAATAAACAAAACAAAATTATATTCAGTAGACAACGGCTCATTACCAATATAAATTATGATTTAATAAACATTATTATTAAGATTTTTTTATTATTATTAGTGTACATTAAGAGTCCAATTTTCAGAAAAAAAAAATTATTAAAAATCTGCTTTGTATATTTTTGGTGTCACATTTTATCTATTCACATAATTAAATATTCAAAATATTGAACAAAAATTTTCCTTATAATATTTAATTCTTTTGTAAAAATTAAATTTGAGGAAAAAATACTAGTAGCAAAGAGAAGAAAAATACAATTTTCAATAAAAAATATCTAATTTTTGTCAGACCAATCAAAAAGATTTTCAAAAATTTTACAAATGATTATTATATTACAGAAAAGCTAATTTGATTACGTAAAAATTCTAAAATATTTTGAAAATTTTGAGGAATATTAAAGATTTGTTCTTTCGTTTGTGATACTTTCATATATAATGGAAAAGTGAATTATAAAATATTTAGATTTGGAGCGATTTCTTTTATAGTTAGAATGTTAGAAAATCGGTATATGTATTACGAAAGCATTTTGTGCAGATCTAGTTTATGTTGTACAACCAATACATAATTCAATAATTTTAACAAAGAAATGTAAAAAAAAATTCGAATTAATGCAATGTGGGGTGGAAGTACATTTTCCTCAATCGTAAACCTAAAGCATAATAACGTACAAAGGGCAATTCTTAAAATAACAACGCGACGAGAATGATTGGACACAACCTTTAAATAATTCAATATGGCACATATAATCACAAAAAAATGTAATACTAAAAGAAAGAACAATGTAAAATAATTATCTCGTAATTATTGGAATTCCCGAATGTATTAACTCAAATCTCGAATATGGTAATTCCCGCGTCTGCTTTCCTATTTAAATTTAAATGATAAGATAATTGAAATTTATTTTGAAAAATGACGGAATTTAAATTTCCACTTGCTGCGAGCAATATTTTTTTAATATTTTTTATTCAGAAATTACAATTTTATTTTAATATTTTAATTTACAGACATTTTACATAATTCATACTTCTTAAAACTTCTGTAGCAAAAGCAAATTGAAAAGTTCAAATTCAAAAAGAAATCAATGATCATAAAAATTTTTCGATACGGTTTGCACTATCAAATAGTTTCAAATAATTTTGCGCATAAGTACATGAAAAACTTGGATTGAATATCTTAAGATCGAAATATTCCAATTTTATTTATCTCTCAATATTCTTGTTGTATTTTTATATATAACAATTGTGTGTACGACTTTAAGTTTTAAGAGGATTTATTAAATTACAAACAAGAAAAATATTTATACTTATGAACAAAATTTTATAGAATAAACCGGGTGTCATGTTCAAAATTATAGATTTTAAAATATAAAGAAACAAATTTAGATTTGAATATAAAAAAAATTCAATACAATATTCACGAACCAATTTACAAGTAGACAAAAAATAATTTTTTTCGCTAAAATAAATTTGAGAAATTTTTTATGACAATATTTTATGCCTTAAACATATTTTGTAAAATATTCTGCTATTCTAATATTTTACTATTCTTTTTGTATATGCAGTTAGCCAATATTTAGTTTCTGATAACAAAAAAAAATTATATTCAACAATAACTAATAAAAGCATTAAATGTTAAAGAGCATAAAAGCTCAACTTTCTGCTTTTTGAATGAAATTAAAAGAAACGTCAGAACTTTAAATCAAAGGGACATTGAAATTGTAGATCAAAAATAAGTACACAAAAAATAGGCAACTAATTCAAAAAAATAGTGAAGTAAATGATAAAGTATATACACCTAGAATGAAGATTTTTAACAGCTCAAAATTTGATACGATAACCATGTAGCCGCCATATATAAAATTACTTTTATACCGCATTAAACACTGCGTGTGATAAAACTAAATAACCAAAACTAAAAAACCAAACGCATAGCAAAAATTATTGGACTCACTTGAATATTTAGATTGCTGAGTATAAAAATGCTAGAGACAGTTAAGAGTTGTCATTATTAATTTTGAATATTACACGCATAAAATGTTTTTGTAAGCCATATATTTTTCACTAAAACAAGCATTTGAGAAAGTTACAGATGAAACCTAAACTGAACCCTACCGCATCAACCACGTTTTTCTTTTAAAATTACAAAAAAAAATTCTTTTTTTTTGTTGATAGAATTCATTAGTCTTTTAATTGTTGGTGTAACAGAAATTTTGAAAATATTTTAATTAATACCAAGAAAAAAAGAGGTTTTTGCGATAGGAACTTAGCAACTATTCTGAAATTCGCCTTGCAACTTTTCAACTAAGAGATTATCTGACCATAATTAAATATTATTAAAAAAGTAAAAAAAAATTTTTAAATTTTTAAATTTTGTTGTTCATTTTAATAATTTCAAGATCCTTTAGAACTTTAGACCTTTATTTACTGTACATTAGAGATTAACTTTTTTTTTTAAAATAATTTCATTAAAATGAAAGAAGGCTTAATGACATTGAAATTTAAAGGTTAAAGAGTTATTAAAGAATTTATTTTTAAATAACAATGTAGATGAAATATTGTAAGTATATGTGTTTATGCTGTTATATATATGTACATGGATTTATTTATACAAAATCATTAATCGATTTGATAACATTAAAATCAAATTTTGTTATAACCACCATATTTTGTTTTTTAAATATTTTAATCACGTTTATTTAAAATGTTATTAAAGACAATTTAAGAAAAATTTTTTATACTCTCAATAATAATTTCTTGTTTTCGTCCTTGTTAACTTGAGTTTTGTGTGTATTTGTGTACGTGTATACAAATCAGAGTAACTTTTTATATTATTGTTATAAAAATTTTAAAGTATTAAAAAAGTTAATAAATTTTAAATTGAATTCTTTAATTTTTAAAAAAAAAAGAAAAGAAAACAAAACATGGAAAAAGTTTAAAATCTTTTGTAAAGCTTTTGTTATCTCTTAAGAAAGAAAGTGTTTTTTTTTTTTTGTTTTTCTCATTAATTTTACAACAAAAGTTTTTAGTATTATAAAATTTGTTTTCTATGAGTTTTTATTGTTTTATTTTCTTATTCTTGTTTTGTTTTTAATCCTTCTATGTAGAAATTCTAAAATTTTTATGAAATTTCTGAAAATTTCACAAAATTTTGAATATCAAAATTATTAAAAAATTGCTAAAATATTAACCACAAAATTTTAATTTTAAAACAAAATTGTAAGTATAAAGAAAAAATGCCAATAAAATAATTATTGAAAAATAATTTTATCAAATTTAATAAAAATATTTAAAAAATTTTTACATTCTATCATAATCAATTCAATAAACTTAAGTCCTAATTCATTAATGAATGTTTAATTTAATCCTTTCAAATCTAAATTTCATTATAATTGATCTTAAAATAATTCATATAAAATTATTTAATTAAAAACACTTATAATTTTGTACTGAAAAATATATAAAATTAATGCCAAAATTTTTATTGTAGCAAATTTGTAACACAAGATAAAGGACACCAAAAACAGATGGCTTACATTTCTTCAAACAATACAAGCCACAAAATATATTCAATAAATCACAGCAAGATTTCAACAACTAGAATAATTCTTTCTTTTTTATTCATCCTCTTATTAAAAATTGGATACTCTTAATTTTTACAACTTAATAAAAGCTTCCTTAAACTATTTTATTCGACAATATTTGTTCAGAGAATACAAAACAAAATTTTAATATACGCTAACAAAATTCATTTTTGTTTTCGTTCGCACTTTTCAACTAAAAAACTGGTTATTTTTAATTTTTCCAACAAAAATAAATTGTTTTCT